CTCCCTCTTTCTTGAAAAAGCAATGGAAAAATATCCTTGAGTGGGGATTTAAACAAACAGACAAACAAAAACAACGAAAAAGCTGCCCGAGGAGCAGGGCCTGGGGCCCTGCCTTGTGCAGACCGGCATCCAAGTCCATCAGTTTGTCCAGTGCCCTGAGCTGCCTCCGTTTTTAAAGAAAATAGTACTTTAAGAATAGGCTGACACGCATGGTCCTGACTGTTAATGGAGGGTGTGCATACGTGTGTGTGACTACGTATGCACATTTTCTACACACACGGATAGAGACACGCACGACATTTGACACAAGCCAGTGCTGCTTTCTCTCAGTGAGCCTATGAAAAGCACGACTTGTAGCTCTGACCCAGGCACCGAATTACAAGGAACTAAGACAAACCCCCTGCACGTTCCCTCCATAAAGCCGAGTCCGCGAGAGGTGACAGGTGCCCGGGGGGGCTCCGGTCAGCATGGGAACTGTGGGGCACCGTGGACGCCGTCTCAGGCAGGGGGCCTGTTGGTTAAGCTCACTCTGGAGGACCCGCAATACTTCCTGTGGTCAGTCCATCTCCCTGCAGCCCACCTGCAGGGCCAGGAGCCACAGAGAGTCACTGTCGTGACTGCCTCTGGCTGTCTACCCCCAAAGTCTAGCGTGTTCCTTACAAACACGGGTGAGCTTTGCAGCCCGACCTCCGTGCATGGGGTTATCGCACACGTTTGATTCTGAAAAAATTAGTTTTAACTGCTAGGAACTCATGTATTATCTGGCCCATCGATGTAGCTCAATATGGGCCTTGGACTAATTTAACTGGTGCCCATGTTCTAACTAGGATGAGATTACCACTGGCCACGAAAAGGAGATGGATTTGAAGGCGGTTGGGTCTCCCCCTTTCCTCCCCCGCCCCCCAGCTTGTTGTTGCCTTTGAGATGCGAGCAGATCCCTGCCTGTAGCTCCGTGTCTCCCACGGTCAGAGAAAGCGAGATTATGCAAAACTGAAGCAAGTCTTTGAGTCCGTAGTTCAGTTTTTATTCATTGTTTATTGCAAAGTCCTAAATCTTTTCACCCTCATTTTATGTGCACTGGAGCCACTGGAAATGCCACCCAGACACTGCCCGTTGGTATCTAGAATCCCACCAGCGCCCGGGAGAGCGGCCGCAGGCAGGAGAGCGGCCGGGTTTCCCGCGAGCCGTTTGACACTGGCTTTCTCGCGCCAGGAATGTCGCTCACAACCTGTGTTCTGTTTCCAGCTGCATTTGGTTCACTGGAATCCGAAGTACAACACGTTCGGGGAGGCTCTGAAGCAGCCCGATGGCATAGCCGTGGTCGGCATTTTTCTGAAGGTGAGTCACAAACCGACCACGTGTTTTGTTTCCAAATTGACTTCCTTACCCAGGCTCAGGATGGCACGAGCGCCACTCCCTCCTTTTGTTTAAGCAGGGCCTCTGGGAGCCTTTCTTCTGCCAAGGGCCATGTGGATATTTATAATATCATCTGTGGGCCATCAAAAATTATCAACTTAAAAATTAGTTATGAAAAATGCTCCTAGGCTTATTAAATTTCGACTCCCACCTGCGGTTGCCTTGGCAGGGCCAGACCGAATAATTCCAGGGCCCGTATACGGCCCCTGGGCCAGATGTTCCCCAGCCCTGGCTTAAAGGGGAGAGAGTGCATTTCAGTATCCATTCAACTAATGTAGATATTTCTGCTCAGATAGCTCAAAATGTTTGCTGTCCCCAAAAAGTGGACCTTTGGCCCTATTCCTCAAGAAGTGGATCTACAGATGAGTGTGCATGTGGAGGGTGGGCCGGGGGCAAGTCACGGGCGGTGGGGCCGCACAGCACGGCCCATTACCCTTTCCCGGCAATCATCCCGTCACCCTGGAAACCAGCAAAGCCGATGTCGGGGACGCTGTGATGCCCGGGGCCTGGCCACACATCCCCGAGGCTTAGGGCGGCCACCGCGCCCATGGCCCCGGCTAAGACAGCACCGGGAATGTGTGTGTTGTTGAGCCAGACTCGGTTTAAATTGGACTTAGCGTCATTAACACAAGAATTTCGTGGTAACACAATCTCAGTTCCAAGTCGGGTGAAAATCTCTCTCCCTTCTTTTCGAATGACCTGGTTCGTCTTAGGTTCTCCGTTCACCGGCTCGTGTCCCCACTTGGGCACAAAGCGGCAGGACGTGGGTGGGTCTGAGCGGAAAGGCTGAGTTTCATTTTAGATGCATTGAGTCCATTCTGGTTCTGATTCTATTTTTAGAAAGAAAACCATGGAACGACCTTGCAAGGAAGGCCAAGGTCGCAGAAGCAGATCAACATGCAATTTTGTGGTTCTGTCCTACAGGGGCCTGGAGTCCAAGTTTAGCTCAGAAAATACACCCTCTAAAATTTGGGGGGAGAAGTAAACTCACTTTTTGCTTAGTACACAATTTCCTGGCAGATTTATAAGCTCTGGTTGCAGATGGATCGACCAAATGGGTTTTGAAGACAATCCTAAATTACGGAGAAGAGAAAACTGTAATGATTGGTTTTCTGTTTTCTTGCAGATAGGACGGGAGAAAGCCGAGTTCCAGCTGGTTCTTGACGCTCTGGACAAAGTGAAGACAAAGGTAAAAAATGCTCATTTTCCCTCCGAGAACAGCAAGTGAGGTCGGTCAGGTTTTCTTTTTACATCTCGAGTGTGTTTCTTTCACCTGTCACTAAGTTTGATGAACACGCTAAACACATGTATGCAGATAAATGCCATTACACTTGTATGTTTATAGCTTTTAAAGTGATTTCATGTGCATCAGCCTACTTAATGCTCACTGTTGGTCATAGTTACTTTCTCAACGAGGTGGACGAGAGTGGCCACCCCCTGACACATGTACACACGACATGCAACACATACCACATGCACACAACCACATGCACACACCATACACACACCACATGTACACACCATATGCACACACCACACGCACACAGCACATGCACACACACCACACGCACACACCACACATACACCACATGCACAGGCCATATGCACACAGCACATGCACACAGCACATGCACACCCCCCACATGCACACAGCACATGCACACCCCCCACATGCACACAGCACATGCACACACAGCATGTGCACTCACATGTGCAGAGGTCGCATGTTTGGCTCCTGGTGTTGCCCTTTCTCTCTTGGCGGCACTTACAAAGTCCCTAATTTTCAAGTTAACAATATGGACCCGTCTAACGAGCAGCCTCGTCTTAATTGTTTGGACTGTTCTAATCAAGTGCTAGTACCTTTCGCCTCCACGGAAAGTAAGTTTTCATTTTCAATAAAAACCGAGCCTGTTTCTCATCACTTAGGCCCGAGCATCATTGATACGAATGATTTCGGCTGCAGTTTAGATGTTTCTCTTTCTGGCTGAGAAGCGACAGAACTGCAGCTCTGCGGCAGCTGGCGGGGATAAAGCGGCCCAGCGACTGCCCCAGGGGCAGGCCCCGCTTCCCCCCCCC